TGTTAGAGCAGATCACAAATGGACTATGAAGTTTAAGTTATAAGCTTTACGTTAACTTCTCCATTACAATATCCATCAATACACCATCAATATTAGTGTATGGTATAAATTACAGGTACAAAATCTACCAATACTCAGCTTCAATTTGATGTTATAATAATGTACATCTAGGTGCTAAAATGTTTATGTGAAAATGCATAAACCAATAAAGTTACTGCTACATTGTTTAAACGCTTTTTTCTAAAACCAAAATGTATAGAGTTTGCTGGGTAACAATAAAAAATGTATTCATATTTGTATCTACATCTACTTCTGTATCTTTGCGACGTAAGTTTGTATGTCTGCATTATTTGTAGTAAAGGAAATAGAGCACTGCACTGCATATATCTAAAATATATACATTACATTCATGGATCTTTTTATAATGTTACCTGCAGTGTACTATGACTGGTCCACTGTCGCTTGGAGAATTCTGCTGTGCTGTCCTAAAGGCGTAGATGAAGTCAATCAAATGTGGAACAGCGCGGGGAACACTCTTATCTGGCCAATCAGTGAAATGATATTGAAATACATTATGTAACTCTTCCTTCCCAACCTTTAACGTAAAATAATCGGATGTCAATACTTCAGTTTTTTTTTCTTAAACGTAGATATTTCATATATATTATTTTTCATTATGTATTATTTTTCTCAACCAACAAACAGAAAAAGCGAATTTTCACTTAGGTCTATTACATAGAACAAAGAAACTTTGGCTACTAAAGATGTGATGAAACTTTTAGAATAATGATGTTGTTTGAGTCGAGATAAAAATTTGAAAGCATGTCATTAGGATAAAAATGCGAGCATCTAGCTATGCCTACGAATCAATCTCCATACAATACAATTGTCTAAAAAACTTTACAAGTTTTCAATGATTTTGATCTTGATGACAAGGTTGATGATTTAACTGTAATTTGAGAACAAACCTTCTGAAGTTGTAGATTTCTAACCACATAATGTCCATATTTGGTCTCCCCTGCGTTCGCTACAGTAATGTTTGCATATCGTTTACCATCATTTTCTTCTGGCCAATACTGCTCGCATTTTCGCTACAAAATAAATAGAATAAACAGTCTTCATGAATCCAAATTAGGTGGTTACATTGCATACTCTTTGTTTATTTATTCACTGCCTTATGTGCTTATGAGCATGAAGAGGATTAAGTAAGTAAGTTATTCAGAATGATTTGGATTTGGAAGCTGATTTCGACATTAGAAAACATAGCCTACATGAAGTCATTATATAGTAGCTCAATGCCTATCAAATAAGTAATAAAAATTTGCCATAATTCGTCAAATATTCTGGGTTGGCCCCCTGGCCCCCAGCCAAGTGAGACTCGATTCGCTCCACTAGTCCCCCCCGTTGGGGCCTTTAGCCCCTTCATCGGGCAGGTCCTGGTGCCATCACTGACACCATCTTCACATTATTACCGTAATTAATTCATCCTACCCCATACACCCTATATAACAGCCCAGGACAAATACCTTGGTTCCTTCGAAGACATTAGTAACAACCACAATTATCGTTGACTTTTCCTGCCAGATCATTCTCCACATATCATTGACTGATGCAACATTTGGACCTAAAATTATAAATGTGGAATGAATTATACATATGAGTGCGCAGTTGATTTAGTTTACCTATGCAATGATGGTATTTTAAAGGCTACACAATTATATTTCATACGTCCGGTGTTAAATAAAAACTAATACCTAATATATAATATAATAAAAAAACAAATAAATTGTATAGTGCCATCTTCCAAATCGTATCATTGCTTACCTTGACATGCAATGAACTCACGTGGTGTCGTATATCCCTGCAAGTGAAGTAAAACATGCATAGATAAAAACAAACAAACAAATATACTACCATTCCCTGGTTCAAATCCTAAGTTTGTTTTATTTTTCATTTTTTTTTTTATGGGACAATATGCGGGGGAATTTTATACTGAGGTGAATTATGATGTGGGCGGAGGTATGTACTCTCCGAGTGCCCTCTAGTTGTATATAAAAATGATCTCTGCAGTAATCTGTCAATTTCCCAGTGCGTTAATTATAAAACGAAGCCCGATATTAATATTTACAGACATAGTGCTGTACCCTTTATAGTAAGGTTAATGAGTGAAACCACAATTAATGAACTAACACATAGTGTGTTAATTCTAAGTAAATGTACAAATTTTAGTATAATTTATATTATATTTACGTGGTTACAAACTTGCAAGTTTGAATTTTGTATAAATTTCTATTTGTCGTTTTAACATTTATATTGCATTGTGATGTAGCTGTCCTTGTTTGTATTTGTATTAGTGAGTATTTTATGAATTAGTCATATATTTGGTGTTTACATAATGTTTTTAACCTGTATGTTTGTTTCATTCATTGAAACTTTTGCAATAGTGTTAATAATACCAAATATAAAATGATATTGTAATTAAGATAATTTTGTACGAAACACCATTATTATTATTATTACCTTTATTCGGCTCTTAAGGGGAAACTCTTTTGTCTATGATTTCCCCTTAACGTCGCTTTAGTTTCCCCTTAGCGACACTACTTTCGCCTTATGGTACTGTTTTTAACCACTTCATTGTTTTAGTTTCCCCCTATGGATACTTCTAAGCTCCTATATATATATATATATACATATATATATATACATATACATATATATATATATATATACATATACATATATATATATA